ATATTATTGACCTCTTTCTATATGCCAGGCACTGTTCTAGGAGCTGGTGATACATTCCTGAACAACAAAATAAAGAGATCCCTGTCCCATAGAGCTTACAGGCTAGTGGAGGAAGACAGGCAATAACCACCATAAAATAATAAGTCAATTTCGCAGTACATTAGAAGGTTCTCAGTGCTGTGGGGGATATAAGTGAGTGAGTGAGGGTTTGCAGTTTCAGCATGGATGAGAAACAGCCTCTATAGTGGGAGCAGAGTGGGTGGGAGAGGAGGGGGCCTCGCAAGGACCTGGCTTTTGCTCTTAGTGAGATGGGGAAGAAGTAGAGGATTTTAACAACACTTTCTTATGGAAAATTTCAAAAATGCATAAAAGTAGCGTAAGAGAGTGTCTTAGTCTATTCAGGCTGCTATAACAAAAGTGCCAGAAACTGGGTAGATTATAAACAACAGACATTTATTGCTCACAGCTCCGGACTCTGGGGAGTCCGAGATGAAGGGGCCAGCAGACTGGTGTCTGGTGAGGGCTCACCCTCTGGTCCATGGATGGTGCCTTCTCGCTGTGTCCTCCCATGGTGAAAGGGGCCGTCAAACTCTCTGGGGACCACTTTCATAAGGGCTCTAATTCCATTTGTGAGGGCTGTGCTCTCATGTGACCTAATTACCTTCCAAACGCCCAACTTTCTAATACTATTACATTGAGGATTAGGTTTCACTGTATGAATTTCAGGGAGACACAAACATTCAGACCATAACAAAGAGGTCTTTTTTCCTCTACCCACCTTTGGTTCATTGGCTGTGCCCTGCCAATTAGGCTGACAAAAGACAGATTTATAAAGGAAAACAGAAGTTTGTGAATGTGTGCATCGCACGCACATACACATGGGAGCACTCAGTGAAGAGTAAGTCAAAAGAGATGTCTAGAACTTGGGCTCGTATAGCACTTTAGCAAGGGACAATGATTTTGTAGAGAAGTGACAAGACAAAGGGAAAGGACTGAGCTTCTAGGGGTGCCAGTTGTGGGAAGGCAAATAAATATATAGTGACACTAGGTGCCTGCTGGGAGCCCAGCTCCCTTTTCACAACTGCAGCCTGGGGAATCTCCCATACACCCCACCTCCTTGAAGTCGGCGTATCACTGCATCGAAAGCACCTGCTACCGTACTCACAGACTTGAGCACCGTGAGATACAACAACTAAACCTGGATGCCATCCTGCAGCAGACTGCAATCCAAACACCAATGTCGTCAGTATAATCAGATTCCCCAGAACATGGTGTGGGCAGTTCACTCAAGACGGTCGGCGGTGGCCGGCAAGAGGAGAGCAGAGGAAGTGCAGAGAGGGGGAGAAAGGTTTAAAGGAGAATACGGTCCCAAGGGTCCGGCTTCTTCCTGGAGCTGGTCAAGCCAGACCCTTCACCCCGAGTCCAATGGAAGGCACATGGGCTTTTCCACTCACCTCTTTTATGGACTCTTTAACTGAGATCAGTCACCCCAGACTTGGATAGACCTCTTCTTTTTAACTCTCAACCTCCAAGCCCCTCCTGGAGGAGTCCCAGCCTGGCTCTCCTGCTTCAGCCCTGCGGCCGGGCAGCCCAGCCCTCTTCCCCGGACACTTTCCTCCTTGGCAGCGGGCGCTGCTCTGCACTCCAGCAGGGAGGCGCCTCCAGGCTCCTCAGTCCTGGTCTTTTGCCAGCTCGCGGCTTGGTTCCTTCTGGCTTTGGCAGGAATGCATCCTGGGACGCTGGCAAGGGCACTTTGCCAGTTCAGATCCCTGCTCTGACCTCCTGTGACTGGCTGTGTGAGGTGTGATAATGTACATGCTGTCCCTGCATTTACAGGGGAGGAGCTGCATGGGGACAGAGGGTCTTCCCCAGTCTCCTGGTGAAGGCAGAGCCTGTAACAGGAACATTAAGAGCTGTCCTCCCTCTGATGGGTTGGTGGTGGCTGTGGGCCTGGTTTCCTGTCCTGCTTAACCCCAACATGGCACCAAGCCTGGGCCTGGGCAGGAGAGGCTGCACGGCAGGTGTTCCCCTGAGTCTTGGGACTGGCTTGCCTGGCGGTTTGTTTGCCTGGATCCTGGTCACTCAGTTACTCCACCTGTAACTCAAGGATGGCCTGGGCGCCAGGCTTCACAGCCACTGGGAAGATGGTTGTCCTCTGAGGGTGGGGCTGGGCAGGATGGAGACCAGAGGTGTATCTTAAAGGCCCAGGACCTTTCAGCTTGTCCTGTGTCCCGGCAGAGTGAGCTGGAGGGGCCAGGTGGGCAACTGCTGGAGGATGGGCTTCCTGGTCTTGGTTCTGCCCTTTGCTTCTTGTACCTCCTTCCCAAGTTCCTCTCCCACCCTTGGATGGATCGCTGCAATGGGACAGACCTGACTTCCTCAAGAATAACCAGCCTATCGTGTTAAGATCATATTCGTGGCAGGGTCTGAGCCCAGGCCGGTGAAGATGCTAGACTCGCAGGCCCAGCCTCAGCTAGACTGGCCCCAAACTCGCAGCCACAGCAGTCTTCGCTATTGCACTGTGTGCAGAAATATACCTGGTCGCTCTTCTTGTTAGCTCCAAACTTCCCTCTCAAGAGCGCCTTGAAATTAGCTGTAACTAAAATCCTCCTATCCACTGCACATTTATAAACCACTCTGAATGCAATGGCCTAACACATATCTCAACTTATCCCACGGTGGCCCCCGATGACGACAGGCCTATTAATTTATGAGAGCCTGTGATGTGCTGGGAAGGACTTGAGAGAGGAAAAAGACCTGGTCCCCGCCTTCAGGACCTAACAACAGAGGGGAGAAGCAGACATGCCAAGAGAACTGCGCACGGCCGGATGCAGATGGGCGCCCTGGCATGTGCCCATTTGGCACACACAGTTTCTGCTCTTTGAGAGCGATCGCTATGGTCCATGACAGGTAACGTGGGCCCCAGTGCAAGGCCAGGGCAATACAGTGCCCACGGCCAAGCCCCAGTGGCAGTATTGTCACGGAAGGTGCGATCGGCATTTTGGGTGGGATAATTCTTTGTTGTGTGGACTGTCCTGTCCGTTGCATTCTTGGCCTTCCGCAATAATGGCCCGGAGCATCCCCCAGTCACTGTGACAACCAGCACTGCCCCACACATTTCCCTGGGGCTGGGAGGGCAGCACTGCCCAAGTCACCACAGCCAGGGTCTGCGGTCAGGGCAGCTGTGCATTCTCTCCCCTGGCCACGTGCTGGTGCTGGTGGGCGGGGGGAGCAGAGGGCGAGCACAGGGTCCTGGTTGCAGCCCAGACCCAACTGGAGTGGGCGTGTGCTATTCTTAGCTGCCCTGCATCCATTCCCTGTTCTTTTGGTAGCAAGTTACCCACACGGCTGTTTGGAAACCATTCCTTTCCCTCTCTCAGCCCTCATACTTGCCGTCGAGTTTACCCTCAAGTTCCAAAGGAGGCTACACAGCTCTCGCCTGGCCAGTCAGTGCAGGGTTCCAGGAGCGACACGGGACCTAAGCAGAGCCGTGATGCTGGGACACAGGCCGGCTCACCTTCGCTGCTAGACGTGACCTTAGAAAGCTGGGAGGCTGTTGCTGCTGCAGCTAGAAGGGGACCAACTCTGCAAAAGCAGAGAGAGCAATGGGGTCCTGGGGACGTGGTCTGTGCCCTGGAGCAAAACACATCTGAACCGGAACCCTCTCTTGACTTTTATAGGGGCCAATACATTCTCATTTTGCTTAATTTCAGATTAGGTTGTCCAATATTTACAACAAGAAGAGACTTCAATACACCAGAGAAAGGAGGTAAGAGTCTTCATTCCAGAGGAGCCAGGCTGCCCCGAAGCAGCAGCCATGAGGCCCTTGGTCCCCTCCAGCCTGTTGTCTACAGACGCCTACATCCTGATACGCAGGACAGGACCATGAGATGGCCCCCCCGCAGAGCCTGGAAGGCAGCATTCTTCTTCAGGAGGCTGGCTGCCTGGAGAGGGTTCCTGTCAGTCTCGGGGTACCCCTCCTAATCCACCGGCATCTGTTCAGGAAAGGAAACCCTGGGATTGGGAGGTGGTGATAGGTAGGCTGGCTCCCTGCCTCCCCACAGGCTGTCCTGCTGTCCCAGACTGACCAGTTCTTAGAGGCACAGCAGGTCACCTGGGTATGGGTATGTGGACCTCTTACAGGCATTCAGAGCAGTCACTGCTCCAGGGCCAGCGACGCCCAGCATCACATCTACATTTCTTTGTGAGGGGTGAAGGGCTTCCTCCCCAGAGGGGGGACAAAAGCCCTGGGAATTAGCCTCCTCCCTCCCCGCAGCCCTCCTGCACAGACAGACAGGCTATAAACACCCCAGCTTGCTCCCTCCCTCGGGAGGGATTACTTTGCCATGAGGTGTGAGTTCTACCATCTCTCAGGGTGGCCTCAGCAGGATCGGGCTTTGGTCCCCTCAGTGGCCACTACAGCAGTACTGACTGTCCTCCCTCCCTGAGGGACACCCCTCTCCCCTACTGATGTTTGCTGGGATCACCTGGATTTCTCCGCTGCTGCTCAAGAGCTAGAGGTAGAAACGCAGCAGGCACCTGCTGGGTGTAGCCAAATCACCAGGACTAACCAAGAGGCTGCAGGGCAGGCCTAAAAGACAGTAAAAGAAGCCATTTCCTAGAGACAGAGTGCCCCTGGGCACAGGCCTGTGTCCTCCAAGGTGCAGAGAGCTGGCACATTTCTCCTGTTCTCACTGACTGGGATCACCACCGGGCCCAAGTGCAGACTGGTGTTAGGTATTGAATTGGGCTTTGTAATTCCTTCTTTTACAGTGGGAAAATCTAACACCAATCATTTGTTCTGTGGGTGTGTGCACAGAAAGTTGTTCCACCTTGGTTCTCTGGCCCTAAGCAGGAACAACTGGCTCCCATTCCGATTGACCTGTGGCTCAAAAAGTCACCAAGGCCCCACACGTACCTCTCCACCCATTTGCCAAGGCCAACTTTTACATCTCTGAGCGAAACACAATAGAGAAACAGGATTCTTTTTTTTCTTTTCTTTTTTTTTTATTTTGGTGACAAGTGAGATCCTTTGATGGAAACCGGACCTGTAAAAATACAAGGACAGAGCCATTAGCATAGACACGGAGTTCTGTGACCTGGAACTCTGGTGGCTTTTCAGTTTTACAACCTCACGGTGAGGGCTCAGCAGCTAAGATCCTTCAGTGGAAAAGTAAATTATTTAGGATTCACGTTTCTTCCACTCTTCATGTCCACTCTCCCTTTCGGCCAAACGCCCCAGGCAGTGACACCCTTTGCACAGCGCCCGCACGTACCTGCTCGTCCTCGGCTCAGCCAGGGGCGAGCGCCTTCCCTGTTTCTTGTCCTTCCCCGGGGGCCCTGTGGATACGGTGGAGCCTCCCTCCCCAAAGCCAGGCTGTGGTGGGGAGTTTGACCACATTCGGTGCCCAAAAGGGGTGGGAAAGAAGCCCTTTGCTGTTAGTGCCTTCTTATCAGTCGAGGGGGAGGTTCCCCAAGCTTTAGGAAAGAAAATTCTAGAAGCATCTTTCCCTAAAGAGACAGCTTTGCCACTGTCGTCAGATGCTTCTTTAATCTCCAGACAGAGAAGGACAGATTTCCCTTCCACAGTGACTGAGAGCGGAGCCTACAGAGGTCAGGAGGGTCCCGTGTACCCCTGCAGTGCGCCCTGTGCCACCCCACACTGACTCTCACGCTCGTTTCAGGGCAGCTTTCACTGGCTAAAGCACTTCCCTGGCCTCCAAGCCAGCAAGCCCTGCCCATTCAAGTCCATCCCAGGAACGGCTATATTGCCTTCTAGAACCACTCTTTCCTATTGTAGCCACTGGCTCCCCTCCTACCCCTCGTCCCCACCAAAACATCCACCCATCTCACTTCCTCCTTGCTGGCAGGAGCCCGGCTGGTTTGGATGCCCACCCCCGGCTTTGCCCAGCTGGAGGGACACAACCCCAGCCCCAGGCCTGGAGGTAGATCTAGACTGGTCTAATCTAGTCGTGATAACTCAACCCCCTTTGTTCCTAATAACCACAGAAACTTCAGGGCTTTAATCAGACCCTTAGCCCCACGGTGTCAGTCAAATGACACGAGGAGATGACACCACAGCCTGGGCTCTGGCAGAGGCAGGTCTGGAAGAAGCCAGGGCCTGCTGGTTCAAACACATCTCAAGCACTCAATGCCAGTTAGTGTTGAACCCGACACTGGTTTGCAAGTAGTCACTGCAGCGACAATTCGATGAAAGCAGCAGGGCATGTGGGGAAACCTCTTCGGAACCAGGAGGGCACAGGCTCTGTCTTAGAGCACCCAGGGTCACCTGTGAGAGCCATGCCAGCCAACACTGAGGCCAGGAATGAGACGCTCAGCTCTCAAGCTTTCCTTGAGAGGCCGGAAGCTTGGCCCACCAGCAAAGGCCACCTCTATTCAGAGAAGGACCAGGGTTCCACGCACCTGCCGGACCGGGGGCCTGGGGCATTGCTCACGAGGTCTCAGTGATGTAGTAGGCAGCTCCCAGGGCCCCTAGAGCCACAGCAACAGCCCCGAGAGCTTGGAGGACGCGAGTTACGAGAACTGGAGAGTTTTCTTGTAGGTTTTCTGTAGAGCAAAGCAGAAAGCGGAGTCACGGGAAGCCAGGCTTTTAGAGCCTGACGACAGGCAGGAGAAAGCGGAAATCGCTGGTCCCTGTGGCGTTGCGGGAATTGCCCATCTCCCCACTATCCGTCTTCCTCTCAGGGGAACACTTAATCCCCCCCACAAATCCCTACCACAGGGCTGCCCAGGATCTGAGGATGAGCCGGCCTGGGGTGCCAGCGGCCCTGGACACTCAGAGGGGAACAGGTTAGGAAGGCGGTCGAGGCCGCCGTGCCAGGCCTCGCGCTAAGCACCTCACACCCAGTGTCTTCCTCAAGCCTCGCAACAACCCTGTAAGGTAGGTTCTATCATTTCACTCCATTTTAGAGATAAGCAGCCTCAGGAAATAATATTAACGTATTACACCCAATACAAAGGCAAGGAAAATGGATGATTATGTTAATAATTATGAGGAAGGCATTCAAACATGCAATATTCATTTTGATAGAAATACTACAAAAGTAGGAATTCTTATTTAATGTGAATGTGTATTTAAAGCCAGGAGCCAACACTGCACTCCATTGAGAAATGCAAAGATGATGGATGCAGGTGCTAGACTTCGAACAGTATTAAGACTACAGGTTTTATCCGCCCCTCTCCCTTCGCTTTCCTAATTCTGAGCCTTGCTTCTGCCTTTCCCTTCCCCTAGAAGGCTCTCCCTTTGCATTTGAAGCCGTAGAGGATCCCGAGATCCTTCTGGACTCGGCTCATATGCTGTTGATACCACAACGTCCACCTGGACCCCCGTTCAGAAGCAAGCACTCTCTTGTTCTGAAACTCGCGGAGCCTCTCCTATAGGACACTTCAGAGCACTTTCCATCTTGCACCTGAGTTTCTAAAGGCACGTATCCTAGCCTACCCTGCAGACTGTACACGTTTTAAGGGCAAAGTTTTCTGTTCTGGTTTTCCTCATAGTGCCTGGTATCCCAGGCAGAGTAGGTTTCCCGCAGTAACACTTGTCGGTTTTACACTATGAGCCCCTGGCACGATCTGGCAGCGGAAGGATGGAAGCATGAAGCGTGTGGCAGGCAGGCCCTCCCTTGAGGGAACTTAGTAGGTGGTTGAGTATATTTTGGCTCCAGGCATGTTCTCCCCACACAGCCCATGTGTGTTGGCTTCTTTTCAGATGTAGGAGAGATGAAGTTTTTCAATACAGACAGGGGAGGGGACTGGTTTAGGGAGGGGCTGGGAAAAGGAACAGGATGGGGGTGGGTGGGCTCTGCTCCAGGGCTAGGGGTGCGAGTCCCCAAAGGGAAGGGCCTCTTCCTGGAGATCTGTTGGCCCCCGAGGTGCGTGGGTGAGGCCCCCTCCCAGCGCATGCACTGAAGAACTGTAACATCTTCAGTCTGTTCCCCTGACGTGGACAGGGTCTTCCCTGAGGGAGAGCAGCAGCTATGACATTTCTCCTGGCTTTGTAGAAGAGAAAAGAAGGGCAGATACCGTGGGTGATGCCTTGGGGGCTGCCACTGATAGACCAACCTGGTGACACCTGTCCCCTGTGGGGACTCCCAGAAAGAGCCTGACAGCACTAGGAAGAGGGCTGAGGTCGTGCTATTGTGTGGATGGGGCGTGTGAGTTACAATCAGTTTCTATCACTAGATTCTGGGGGAAATTCACATGCAGGTCAAGAACCTAGAGCCCCTGCCTGTGGTATGGGCACGGAGGGGGCCAAGGAGGTGAAAAGCCAAAGCAGAGTGTTTAATCACAAAGCTCCGGAGCGACACAGAATTTATAAGGGCTGTGGAGAGTGTGCTCTCACGAGGGGAGGGTGCCTCTGGAGAAGAGAAAAATGAAATCTCTAAAGAAGCAATTCCCAGTATGGAATTGCAAACGGGCAGCTCTCCGTGCAGGTGGGCACCCTGGGGTGGGGCCAGTCGGAAAGGGCCCTGCCTGCCAAACGCAGGAAGTGGTAACTCAGAGGGAGGGCTTTCCTGTAGGCCTTCCCTTCCCAAGAGGAGGGGGGTTACACACGATTGCTAATGAGGTCTGGGGAGAGAGCCGGGCCCTGGGAACTGTGTGCTCTGAGGCTCCAGCTCCCTCCAATCGGAACCTGTAGAAGGTGAGGAGGCTTGGGAGTCCTCTCCCTGGCACGATCTGCCAGTCCCGAGGCAGAAGGACATCGAAGATGCGGCTATGGCATAGCCCCAGACGACGCCAGCAAGCGTTGCTGCCGGGACACGTGGCACAGGAGCAGGAATGCGGGCCCTCATGCACCTGAGACCCTGGGGGACAGAGAAGGAGAGAGATGAGGATGCACCTGCCTGAGGAGGCTGAGGACAGCCTGGAACACAGTCCCAGAAGGCTCCACCAACAGCCACGCTGCTCATGTGGCAGCTGCAGGATCACCAGGGGAAGCCCTAGACTTTCTAAAGGCATCATCAAAGATTCGGGACAGAACCACCCAAGGAAGGCAGTTCTTCTGCAAAATGCTCTCTTACCAAATGGAAGAGAAAATTAACTGCATGGGAAAATGGCTGTTCTATACACTGGTGCTACCTAGGAATAATAATAATACTGATAATGACAATTGTAATAGCAATGTAATAGCTTACACCTGTCGGTGCTCTGTACTTTATTTACGTCATTATCCATCTTATTTAATTGTCACAACAATCCTGTGAAATGGAATATTGTTAGTCTCGTTTTACAAATAAGGAAACTGAGGCTCAAAGAATATAAGGGACGTGCCCCTGTAATGAGTAGATTGCAGAAGTGGACTTCAACTCGGGACTTTTAACTTTTAATTCAGTGAAAACTCTTGCCACGGAATTTGTAGAAAGTCATACATGCGGGTGACTGCTCACCCCATGAGAGGCTGCGTTGAGATTCCTGGAATTGGGGTGGCCATGTTCCATTTATCTAGGGTGTGTCGATCCCCCCAGAAGACAACCACTGCTGTGGTTTACAGTGCTGGAAATACTTTCCCAAACCTATCTCCCATTTCTGTCCTCCTCTGGTATGGATCCCAGCAGAACTCAGAGAAGGCACCCTGTGTTGTTGGGCAAGAGAATTTCAGGCTGGATATCCTTCCTGTTAATATTTCCTACTCAGCTTCTTGACGGAGTTTCGCATTCTTCCAACCCTAAGCTCATGAAGCCCATGGTCAACTCCGCAGACTCAACACACTTCCTGCTTAGATCTGCCCATGACACATAATTTTCCTGGGATGGGGAAAGAGAGGATTCTAAAGGCAAGACTTATCTTTTTCCTATTTTTAGTTTAAAAAACATTTTTATAATAAATCAAGACACAATAAATCAAAATATAATTCCCAGGCCATAACATTCACTCTTTTGGAGTATTCAGTGGTTTTTAGTGTATTTACAAAGTTGTGTGACCATCACCACTGTCTAATCTCAGAACATTTTCATCTCCCCAGAAAGAAACCCCATCCCTATTAGCAGTCCCTCCCTTTTCTCCCTCCCTCAGTGGCAGTAAATTTGCACTATTCTGAACGTTTCATGTAAATGGAATCACACAATATGTGGAGTGTTTCGGGAACTGGCTTCTTTCACTTAGCCTAACGTTTTCAAGCTTCATCTGTGTCACAGCATGAATCAGTACATCATCTCCTTTTACTGCCAGATAGTATTTCATTGTATTCATTGTATTGTGGTATTTCATACCATATTTGTTTTGTTTATCCATTCATCAGTCTATGGAAATTTGGGTTGTTTCCACTTTTTGGTTATTATGAATGCTGCTGCGAACATTCGTGTCCAAGTTTTAGTGTGGGTGTATATTTTTAAATCTCTTGGGTGTATACCCGGGAGTGGAATTGCTGGGTCATATGGTAACTTCATGTTCCTTTGAGGACGTGCCAGACTGTTTCCATGGCAGCTGCACCATGTTACATTCCCATGAGCAGTGCATGGGGCTCCAATCTCTCTGCATCCTCCTTAACACTTGTTTGTGCTCATCTTTTGATCATAGCCATCCTAGTGGAAGACTTGTGTTTTCTTGAGCTACAATATTTTCTGCATACAAAAAGACTTGGATTTTAGGAAGTACATCTCCTCATCCTGTATCTCCAACATTCCTGCCCCTTCTGGCTCAAACGGAAGAAACTCTGTGGAAGAAGTGTGGGGTGTCCACTGTAACTACTGTCAAGCCATCGACGTTATTTGCTTTGCCTCTTCGTAAGCCAAACTCTTCTCCCTGGTGAGTTGTGTGCATTCATCACAAGATTTGGGAACGGAAAATTTTGCTTTCTATGGATACCAGTTCTGAAGACCATAATCCAGAAATGCGTGTCTCAGTGGCTGATGATCACAATATATACAACATATAACACTCAAAATCATTACCATAGGTCAAGAACGTATTGATTTGGGGCCACACAAAGATCGTTGGCCTGGCGACACCTTGGATTTAGCACTCTCTCTCACGTCTCTCGTCTATTTTACACCCACTCCATCCCAGAGGGATAAGCTGTGGCCCCGGGAATGTGGCCTGTTCGAGGACACAGAGCCACGGACACTGGCTCACAGTAGATCCAGGAGACACTCAGAGAAGGATGTTCTTCCTCTTGGGGAGACCACCAGGCCCCTTGGAATTGAAAGGTCAGTGCTGTGGTTAAGAATGAGGACTCTGGAGTCAGTCAGTCCTCTCTCAGTGCCACCTGTGCCTACTCAAGAGTGAGCTGTTTGACTCCTATGAGCCTCAGTTTTCCCATCTATAAAACAGAGATGATAATGGAACCTTCTTTGTAGGACTGTCAAATGAGAAGATTAACTCAGACAGCCGAGCTGAATGCGGGGTACACAGTAAGTGCTCAGTGATAGAAGTTAGCTATCACCACTATTAGTAAAAACCAGCCCACTTCCTAAACTTTGCTCGAATTCCCTCTACACAATCCAATGCTTATTCAGACTCTGTTTGGCTCCCAAGAAGATGGGGAACCACTTTTCCCAACAGCCGTTCCATTTTCAGACAGAGCTAATTGTTGGAAAGTTTTTAATGTTGAGCAGAAATCTGTCTGTTTCTAGTGTCTTCCATGGATAAGGTTGCCAGTTTAGCAAATAAAAATACAGGGTGCCGGGACACACATACTAAACGATTATTAATTGTCTATCTAAAATTAAAATTTAACTGGGGATCCTGTATTTTATCTGGCTACCCGGGACACACATACTAAACGATTATTAATTGTTTATCTAAAATTAAAATTTAACTGGGGATCCTGTATTTTATCTGGCTACCCTATCCATGGGCCCTCAGTCAGACCTCTGGGGACAACACGGAACAAGTCTACTCACATCTTCTACCTGACAGAGAGATATCCCTCCAGGCCCCTCAACCAATTGTCATAAGCCAAATGGTTCTTGCCTAACTGGACCCCTTAACCCGGACTATCTTCTTTGAACTAATTTTTTAGGGAACTTTTAACAGCCCACAGGATAGCCTGATGTAAAGCAGTATGACCACCTCCCTTGTTCTAAACCATATTCTTCTATTAATGCATCCTTGGTTTTTATTTTTAGCAGTCACAAGGCACTACTGACTTCTAATGAACAAGTATTACTACAATATATATGTGTGGTTGTCTTCAATGAGATCCAGGATGGTGGAAAAGACAAAACCCAAGAATCCTGGTCTCTTGGGTAGAAACAAAAACAAACCTTCACACTTCACAAGCACAGTTCCAGAATACATGTTAACTCTACACCACTCTCCTATCAGACCCGGCCTCTCGGGTGCCCCTGGGACTCCATCCGCAGGAAGGCTAGGACTGCTCAAGCTAGAAGACGGCCCACCTGTTTTCCTTGTTTTCTTGGAGGGAGGGGCTGCTTTTTTGTCAGCGGCAGGAGATAGGCCCCCAGAGGAGTGGTGGATTTTGGTAGCTGGAAGGGCTTGGGGTGCAGCCTGCTGGGGGGTGCTTTCGAGGCTGGGCTGCTGAGGAGCGGACTCAGGGCTGGGCTGCTGTTGAGTGGACTCAGGGCTGGGCTGCTGCGAGGAGGACTCAGGGCTGGGCTGCCGCGAGGAGGACTCGGTGCTGGGCTGCTGCGAGGAGGACTCAGAGACAGCATGCGGCGAGGTGGAGTGCTGGGAGGCCGAGTCTCGGCGGTGTCGGGCCTCTGGCTTTTTCTTCTTGACCTTCTTCATGGTGGGGCCTCCCAACCTAAACGTGGACCTACATGGAGCTGCCTAATCTCCCGCTCCCTCCTGCAGGAGCCGTTTGCCCTCTGCCTCAGGGTCTGGCTCCGGCCCCCGACTGGCCCCTGGCCCCACAGAGGACAGTCACCCACACCTCCTGTGAGGTCATAGAAGCCAGGGTGGTTCCCATGGCAAGCTCCGGGGACAGTTTTCTCCGTAGACACCAGCATGGTGTCCTCCCTCCTCCCAAGCTGCTGGGATAGAGAGATAGGGCCGCAGCTGCCCTGCCCCTCACAGGCCTGGTTGTGCCTGGTTGTGTCTGGTTGCGGGGCCTGTGACAACCAGACCCCACGATTCTGCGACCGGAGCGCCACCTTCAGGCACCTCTCCGCTGGTGTGTTCCTGAGGTCATGTGAGCTATCTGTTTTGCTCTAAGACACCCAGGATGTGATGCTCAGTTCTGTCACTGGTTTCCACGTACCAAAAAAAGAAAAAAAAAATCTATCCTCATCATGCATTTTGTGAGTTTTAGGCAACTCTCTTGAAGATTTGGAGCTTCTTTGAAGGCTTCACTTTCCATGGCCCAGAGCCTTCTACTATCTCACAGTAACCTTCCCCTTCCCCCAAAGCCTTCCGTCCCCCGCTGTGGGGGGGAGCTGGAGGGGGTATCCCTACTTTTATAAGAACCCTTGCATTTGTTGGAGAATTTTCCTGGAAAACATAACAGCTGTTCAGAAAACTAAAATTTTCTCAAACTCATTACATTGGCAACCACAGACTGACCATCTCCCAAACTCCAAACTGTTAGGGCCTAGCAGGGAACCACGAACCTTTCTCTAAATTAACGTGATTTTCATTTTAGGATGGAAGGGGGAAAGGTGTTTTTGAAAGACAATCTAAACCTCACACTTTGCAACATAAAAGGCGTTCAGATTGGAAGACTCTACTTCCACCGTGTTAGGTGAGTATGTGACTGCTGAACCCATGACCTGCAGCCTGAAGCCCCAGGATAAGGTTTAGGGCAGACCTAGCTAGACAAAAAGGGCTCACAGGAATCCCCACACAAGGCCAATCATGAAATGACGGGACCTATATTAGGGCTTCTAGAGCCTGAAAAGACTTTAACTATTATCTTTTTGCAGAAGAAGTTGAGCTGCTTTTCCAAGGCCACGCAGCGGACTTTGGCAGGGCTAAATTCCAGAGCAGGGTTCTACCTTTTCATGATCCCAGAAGGCAATAGGGAGGCAGATAATTATACAGGCTTTAAAGTTAATGAATTAAAAAATCCCTGAGAAGATTGAAGAAAACAAACAAACAAGCAAAGGCATGGAGGGTTAGAACTAAAGGGAAGCTCAGATTGAGCGTGTTGGGTTGTATTTGGTTGACTTTGGCATGAGGAGGTGCGGGGAGCAGATGAGTCTACAATTCCCTGAAGTCAAGACAATGGGTCCCAAGAGGGGACCCCAGCTGGAATCAGAGAGACTGGAAATCCGGGCCAGGAACCCTGTTGGGATTTAGCAGACAGGTCCCGGACTCCTAACTGAGTTTTCAGGTACCAATGGACTTTGACTGAAGGCCTCAACCTAGTTTAAATTAGGGTTTTTCACCTTCAGCCCTACTGACATTTAGGGCTGGGTGATTCTTTGTTGTGGGAGGCTGTCCTGCGTATTGCAGGAATTTTACCGTCATCCCTGGCCTCTACCCACTAGCGCTTCCCCTACCCCATGACAACCCAAAATGTCTCAGACATTGCCAAATGTCTCCTGTGGGTGGGGTGGGGTGTCAAATTGCTCCTGGTTGAGAACCATTGGTTTAAATGACTCAGATAGGGGCAGACACATATAGGTAGAATTTCCCATAGCAATGAAAGAAACATTCCATTTCACCCAAAGGACCCAAACAGAGCACAGAGAACAGTTCTCTGTTCCCCAGGAGAGAGATGGAGGAAACACAGAGGGCAGGCCTTGGGAGGAGTGGGGAGTTTTTCTATGGCAGCAGCAAAAATATGTGTGGGTTCTTTAGTAAGGGTGGTCCCAGGAAGCAGGGAGAGGGCACTCACGGGACAATGACAGGTTGTCCCAGAAGGATGAGGAAGAATGGCACTGCAATGGCTCCTTGCTAGAATGTCTTCCATGGTCTCTCTTCCTTTGGCTTGAGCACAAGTTCCCAGCCCGGAAGCCTGACTCCCCTATAATATGGTCACAGCTCACTGCCCCAGGCTTAATTGCCACCACACTGCTACCTGTGTCCAGCTCTAGCCAACCATGAGCACCAGAAGTCTTGTGAATAGGCCTAACGTTCCTGCATTTTTGGAAACCCTTCCCCTCCATCACCACCCCTCATCTTTATCGAAACATTTCCCATGGACAAGTGCATCTATCTCTTAGTAAAGCCTTTCTTGAGATCCTAAATTGGAAGCCATCTTTCCCTTTCTGAGCCCCAGAGCACCTGTTTTTATGACACTGATCACATTCTGCATGGCGTTAGAATTATTTCTGTCCTTGTTTTCTCTCTCATTCCCCGACCCCCGGACTGTGGATACCACAGAGGGCCACTGTGCAGAAGAGGGGCTCAGTGCAAGCTGCTCGAAGTGAACAAAGGTGCAGGCGAGAGGAGGGAGAGCAGGAAGCTGTGAGAGCAGGCAGGCGCGTGTGGGTGATGGGGACAAGGCACTCCCAGGCTTCACCACTAAAGGGCTGGTTTCAAAGATGGACTGGGATTTTTCTGGCCTCAGCTGAAGATCATAGGCAAGGGGCTCTCCTGACCATGTGTGCCAGCCATGCGAAGATATTGCAGACTGGTTAGGAGAGCGAGAAAAATGAGTCTGATGGGATTTGAAGTTAGTCAGGCTAAGGTCCTGGTTAAAATCCCCACCCAGACAGCCACTGATGGTTCCTGTCCTTGGGATGTGTCCTGGGCACCCAGAACAATCATGTCACCATTTGTCCTGAAGCTAGCTGGATGGCACCTTAGGCATCAATGGCCCTTCGCTCTCACATGTCTCATGGGAAGGAAACGTCCATAGAGAGGACAACTGGCTTTAGTCACTAGCTGGAGGGTGGCAGAGGCTTGAGTACCCCAGGCTTCGGACTCCCCTCCCAGAGCTCTTCCTCAGTCCCTGCTGTGGCCCCTGGAAGGGTGGAGCTGGCAGGGGCTTTTGGCGACAGAAGATACAGTACTTGGTGCTCACTTAAGAGCCGGCTGCTGAGGGCTTAGACCCACAAATTAACCCCCTGAAGCCACAGGCCTGGGTGCCCTGATAGGAATCCCAAAGGTCGTGAGTAAGAATTCTGCAGGAGGCCGGCTACTCTAAGAAAGTACCATCCTTAGAGGGTTGTTGTGAGGATTAGACGTGAACAGCCTTTAGAAGAGTGCCTTGCCGGCAATAGGCATGCTTTTATTGTGATTATTATTCCCTGAAGAAGACTAGAGAACCAAGCAAGGAATAAGTGGATGTGCAGAGGAGGAAGGGGGCCCCTGGTCCTACAAAACCCCAAATCAATACCTTACAAAAGCGTGATTCCAAGTAGCGGGAAACGATGTCCCAAGTGGTGGGTAGGGTGAATGAGTGGGAGGTGTAGCCCTCCGAATTAAATTACTTGGAACACTGATGCTGAGATGGCCCCAGCGAGCACACTTAGTTCACCTCCACCCAAAATCTTATCCAAAACTCCTGGAGACGCCAGGAGAGGGGCTGGGCGCTGGAGATTTGTCCACTACTCAGTGGGGGCAGCAGGGTCAGGGGACGGGATTCCGTATTTGAGCGTCCCTCCCTCCCCGCGGCGCCCACGGCCGCCGGGGGTTCCCAGTCCCCAGTCCTCAGGCCCCTCACCATCGGTCTGGGTCTCCCGATCCACTAGGGGCACCCCGGGCGCTTGGCCGGCGGCGCGCTGGACGTCCAGGGTGCCCTCGGGGCGGCCGGGGCAGAACACGGCCGTATGCACCTCCACGACGGGGCCGTGCGGCGCGAAGACGCTGCAGAGCAGGGTCTCCATGCGGCTGCGCGCCTCGGCCTCCTCGTGGCCCTGCGGCTGCACGATGATCCCGACGAGCGCGGCGGGCTGGCGGCGGCCCCGGGCGCGCACCTGCTGCAGGAGCAGCTGCAGCCGCGGCAGCTGCGAGCTCAGCGCCGACGCGCGGCACAGCACCAGCAGCAGCTGCGCGCCCCGCTCGGGCGGCGCCGGCGGCGGCCGCGGGGCCCCGCGTCCCGCCGCCACCGCGTCCTCGGCCGCCGGGAGTGCCGGGGTCCCAGGCGGAGCCCCGGGCTCCTCGCGCGGGTCCTCGGCCTCGCGCCCGGAGGGTCGCGTCTTCTCGGTGAAGCGTAGCAACTTCGCCGCCGGGCAGTCGTCGCCGTTCACCGAGCCGTCGCCTGAGCGCTTGGGCCGACGCGTGGCGCAGTTGCTGGAGCTGGTGTGGCGGCTCATGGCTCGGCCGGGCGAGGGTCCGGAGAGCTGATCGGTCGGGGAGTCCCCCAGAAAGTCCTGCAGGGTCATGCCGCACTCATCCTGCGTCCAGTACTCGCTTACCAGCAGCACCTGGCCACGGTCCACGAGAGGCTGGGCCGGAGCCTGTTGCTGCGCCTCAGCCTTCCTCTCCCGGGGGGCGCTGGGGGGCTGGGCCCCAGGCCACTGCTTCATGTCCGGCCAGGCTCCCTTGCCCCTCTGGGCTTGGGCCTCCGTTGGCCAAGGGAAATCTGCCCTTCCTCAGAGCATGTCACAATACCCCTGCGCCCTGCCTCTATTGGTCGTGGCCAAGGGCCTCCGCCCTGCTATTCCTTGGAAATCTTCTAACGTAGGGAAGTTGCTGTTGGACGCTGGTTTAATGCCGGCTGTGATTAATGTCTCCATCGATTTGTATGTCTGTGGTTTCAAAAGGTGCATCTTTTATGCCAAAGCCTCAAGGTAAAACAGATTTTCGTGCCCCCGGGGCATCTGTGAAACAGTGGATCAGGATGCTCACTGCATGTGGAACTTCTGAAAAGCAGTGAGGAGCAGAGTGGCAGCTCTGAGAGGCTGTGGCCTGGGAGGCAGGACTTCCCCGAACGTCTGCTCTCTGGGTGATCTGGGGCCCAGAGTCCTGGACTG